ACACCTCATTATGATATTTCATGAAGTACACCTATGTAAAGCAGGAGAAATCATCGATAAATATGACATAATATTGATGACCCCCTTTAGAAATAAAAGGTGCGGGACCCCATACATTAGAATGAACAAGGTCAAAAGGACACTGTGACACACACCAACTAGAGGCATATGGAAGCTGGAACTATTTGCCAAGCCTACAGCCCTGACACTGATCTAAAGAAACATCACCAGAGACATTTCCCAAAACACCACGACGGACAAGAGCGGATAACCGGGAACCACATAAATGTCCCAAGCGATGATGACACTGAGCGAAAGATGAAGAAATTGACACAGGAGAAGCAGAGCTAACAAGACTAGCAGAGGCAGCGGAAGGAAGATAAGCCAGTCAAGCTCCCAAAGATGCTGAGAATCACGGCGACGAGGGCCAATACCAACTAGGAGACCTGTGCTGAGATCTTGAACACGATAAGAATCAGAATCAAGAATAGCACGACAACCATGATCAGTGAGCTGGCCAGCAGAAATAAGTTGCATGGTCAAACCAGGAACATAAGAAACACAGGGAATATGAAAAGAGGAGGACGAAAGAGTGCCATCATGACCAACAACCGACAGAGGGGAGCCATCAGCAATTTGAACAATGAGAGGAATAGGAGGACAAATGGAAGAAAGACATGTACGATCAGACATCTTGTGAAATGAAGCACCAGAGTCAAGAATCCATGGCAAGATACCTAAAGTGGATGGTGGTTTCTAAATAGAAGACTGAGAAGTACCAGATAGTGCAGGGGCAGGACTGATAGAACCAGCAACTACAGTAGGTGCAGAGGTAGCAAGACAACGAAGCAACATGAGTATCTCCTGTGTATCAGTATGCTGAGAGCCACCAGTACTCTCAAAGACACCACCAGCAGTCACACTACTAGGACCCTACGAAGGACGCCCACCTCGGCGAGACTGAGCCTGTTGCCTCTTCTTCTTGAAACAGTGAGCCTCATCATGTGCATCTCTATCGCAGTGATCACAATGAAGTCCACCTGAACTACGAGTCCTAGAGCCAAAGGCTACCGAAGAAGACCCCTTGGGAGTCGACCAAGAACTCCAGAAGATGCAGATCGAGCAGCCAGAACTGAGGAGGAGGTCGACTCAAGCAGACCAGCTAAACGAAGGTGAGTCTCCTCATTACGAACAGCAACAAGAGCCTCCGTCAAGGACACAGACGGCCCACAAGCAAGTAATTGAGCACGAAGAGGGTCAAACTCAGCACACAGATGAGTTAGGAAGTCATAGGCGCGATGAAGCTCAAGGTGGCTCTGTTGCTTCCTGCAGGAATCACAAGTGGCGGAGACAACTGAGGACCAAGAGTGTAAGCTCACGCCACACTGCTGATAGTTGTCGAAAGAAATCAACTAAACTATCACCCTGCTGTGACAACTACTCTTGACGTAAGGCGGCAATATAGGTGGACTAACCAGAGGGCTCATAGTTCTGGCGAAGAAAGGCCCACATTTGAGAAGCATGATCAAGCCGAGCAACGTCCGTAGCCAGACGCTCATCCATACTAGCAACAAGAACAGCCCCAGCATGGGCATCCTCATCCAACCATGTCTGATAGGCCTTAAAATGGGACATATAAGAGGTCAGATCATCATCATAAGTTTCTCGCAACTTCTTCTGGTCAGCTTCTGAGGTGCCCGAAGGAATCACTGGCTACACTGGAGGAGGAGGCAGCCTTGGACAAGGCAGCTCGTCCCTGAGAAACTCCCAAAGTCGAAGACCACGCATATGCAACCGCATACGAGGAACCCAATCGCGATAATTGGTGTCATTGAAAAGAACTGGACAAGGTGGAACTTGAGCGGTACCAGCACTGGAAGAAACCAGAGGGGATGCCATTTTTTACCCAATACTCTTCCAGAAGAAGGGGACCGAAGGAAACAGAGCACGCGCGTGCAGGCGGGCGCCGAAGCAGAGAGGCGTGCAGCAGTGGGCCTAGTGTGCGAGACGCAAGCCCATGTGGTGGAAAGCCGCGCCTCGTGCAGACGCCCGCGGGAGCAGCGGGATGCGCGCGCGCGCTCGCAGAGGAGCAGAGGCGCCCGGCCGGGCCGCCGCGCGTAGGAGCAGAGGCACGCGAGGAGGAGTCACGAAAGGAGGAACCGGCTACGGCAGCGTGCACACGATGAGCGCACGCGGACGAGCCCCCGCGAGAGAAGCCGCCGCGTGCGAAAAGGAGCCACAGGGAGAACGCCCTGCAGCGGTGGCTTGCGGGGCGAGAGGCCAAGGCGCAGCAGCGTCCGAGCGGCTGCGTGCCGGTGGCCGGCAGTAGCTTGACGGTGGTAACCCTAACCCTAACCTGACAAACGGATACCATGTTATTAGGATAAAATGAGCTTAGTGTATTCCAGGTGGCAACTGCCAAAACATGTACGTGAGCTAGGCATATATGCATATAGTCCCTTACACAAAGAAGAAAATATGCTATACAACATATACATCTAACAGGTTCAAGCTGCTTTTCAAATCCCTAATTTCTGTCTGATTCTTTTGGCTTGACCTTTTTAATTTTGTTCGTATATTCTTTAAGGCATATGTTCGAATTTGTTCACCAGATCGTAGTGTGGATGTGCAGTAATTGTTTATTTTTCGCGAACCATTGTGCAGCAATTGTTTGTGGTCTCACACAAAGGACATTGTGTAGCTATCGGGGAATTGCGGAGAGTCGCAGGTTTTGTTGGGGCTGCCTGGTCGGAACTCTGCACAAACAGGGGTGAAAGGTGAGTGCTTGACTACTGAATACTGATTCAGATTTTTGTACTTGTGCAAACAGGGAATATATCTTATGAACTCCAGCATTATTCTTAGATGGAACTGGGCTACAAGCTTAATTACTGCAGGAACAAACAAGGCATTTTGTTTTGCCAAGGTCATATAAACTATTTTCCATGTTTATTGGTTACTGCACTTTCTCTTGGAGGTCTGGAATAAACACAGACATGTAATCTATTTAAATCTGGTTTCAAGATGATGCATTAATCGGCATGTATGCCTATAGCAGCTCATATAATTCCTAAGACTGACCAAAACATTATTAAATCTTATTGCAGTCAAACAAAACCAACTTCTGGAAAAAGCTATGTGCTGATTAAAATAGGAAATCATTCTATTTCTTTATTAAACTCTACTGTGAAAATTCCAAAAAAAAACTAAGCTTTACAGTGTTAAAAATGACTTGAAGTATTAATCAAGTGAGATATTTCTTCCTCACTATGTTTCAATAATACATTATCCCCTGTTGTCTTCCTTAATTGCAATACATCTGAAAGCAAAAATTTTATTATTTTTTTATTCTCATTATTTTGACTCCTCTTATGGTTGATTAACTTGTAGTGCAGTGGTATTACTGTTCCAATATCTCTACTTGTCACAAGTTGTCCTGAAATATTTCGTGATATGTCATCTTGTCAGGCTCTTTTAAATCTACAGAGACAATCGAGAAGATCTTGGCTTCAGAAGGAACTATTATTGGTGAAAAGTCTTCAGTAAAACTGTGCAAGATATAGATGCGGAGTGAATATAGTTGAAGCAAATTTAGGCCTTTCTTACTTTCTAGTTTGGAGAATGGACACCGATGTAGAATGAAAGCATTCGACAAACAGAGATATGTTAGTTGTCAGATTTTCCCTTCTAGATGTTATTGTGACCTGATTGTCAAAGCTAACCACTCGTCTTTGTATTATTGAATTGTTATTTATAATGGAAAAATATATTTGTGAGTGAAGCTTTACACGAGTGAATTATATTGCTTTGGTTGTGTTGTGGTTCGAAGCTTAAATATAAATATTTAAAATATATGAATATTATAAATAGCAAATCGTCATCAATAATACCAACGCATATGAAGTGTTGCCTAATATATCTATTGCAAATTAGCAACACTTATTTTGGCATTTTACCAACGCTTATTTATGTGTTGTATTGTTGTAGTAGATCCTTGCAACACCATCTATAGCAATGCAAACTAAGGGCCTGTTTGGATCGGTACCTGGAAACGACGCCTAGGCCAGGCAGCTTCCCCAGGCCATCGATTTGCAGCGCCTGGGGCTGGATCAACCTGCCTGGGCAGGCCTCCCCAGGCGAGTCCGCGATCCAAACAAGCCTATGCGTGGGTAAAGACACTTGCAACGAAAAAAAAAGAACTTTTAGCAACACATATATACGTTGTAAAAAGGGGAGGTTAAATATCTAACATTAGGCACTACAGTTCATGAGCTTATAAACATGCTTAACCCCTCCTATATGTCGATCAGCGACCGACAGTTTTACAAAAAGTCAACTAAATGGTGTCCACGACACAAAGGCGCCAGCAAGTCATCGTAGTCCACAGCTGGAACAATATATTGGCAGGAGATTTGTCTGTCGTCCAGCTACTGCCTAAGTTGAAACAGCCAAGAATCTGAACGATGCATAATTGACCAGCATATAGAAATAATAATTCCGGACTTCTTCGTATACCTGGAGAAGATGCCAATTGGTACAATATTGGAGGCTCTCCCCCTGGTCGATCTCAATCAATTATATATATACTTGTTATATTAAATAAATAGGCGTACGTCTCTTTCTTTCCTTAACGACGGCCACACGATGAAACATTGTGCATAGCACTACTAGCCATGTCAAAAACTAACAGAGACTAGGAACTATGCGCGTACGTTTCAAGCCCATCGAGATCACACAAGCTGGCAGCACTACGTACAACTTGCAGATGATAACAATCCTATTATATGCACATACATGCGTACCAAAAACCTCCTACTTGCAAACCGGCCATTAGCACATATATGCTGGGTGTAGTATATAAGCAGATGCAATCCCTCTGCGTTTGTCATCAAGCCTAGAAGAAGCACAAGTCATTCAGCAGTTTCTGAACCATCTTCAAGATCAAGGCAGAGCTAAGTAGCTCACGGTTGTCTTTGATTTGAACAAGAAGGCCGGGCCAGATGGTGAGGATGAGGGCGGCCCTCCTCCTTGTTGCAGTGGCCGCAGCGGTGGCCGGCCTTGCCGCTGCCAATTTCCGGGATGACTGCGACCTCCCCTGGGAGCCCCAGAACGCCAAGTTTACGAGCGACGGCAACGGCCTCTCGATGTCGCTGGTCAGCAACTCCTCAGGTACGGCGCTGAATCATATCGCTTGCTGCGATTCTAGCTTGACTTTTTTTAATGTATCTCTCATATATGATGAACATAATTATTCTATGCAAAATGCGTGACATGTGGTCACGCGATGAGCCGATGATTCTTATGCTACTGCCGGCCGGCTTGCAGGCTGCATGCTCCGGACAAAGAAGCAGTACATATACGGGACCGTGTCAACCCTCATCCAGCTCGTCCCAGGCAACTCGGCCGGCACGGTCACCACATACTACGTAAGCGCTAGTGGTCTACTTTAATTTGTAGTCTCATATCATATAATATGATGATGATGATGATGATCTGCTATATATATAAAAACAAAAATTCAGGCATCCTCTGTTGGAGACAACCATGACGAGATCGACTTTGAGTTCCTGGGCAACGTGAGTGGCCAACCATACACCTTCCACACCAACATCTACGCCAATGGCGTGGGCAACAAGGAGATCCAGTTCAAGCCCTGGTTCGACCCCACCACCGGCTACCACAACTACACCATCGCGTGGAGCCCCTGCATGATCGTGTAAGCTGCCATACCTACTGACCGGCCGACGTAGTACGTTGAGGATGAGCTATGATCGAGCTAGAAAAAAAAAATGACATGAAATGCACACGCAGGTGGTACGTTGACAGCATCCCCATCCGGGTGTTCCGCAACTACCAGAAGAGCTACGGCGTGGCGTACCCGACGAGCCGGCCCATGTATGCCTACTCCAGCATCTGGGCGGCGGAGGACTGGGCCACGCAGGGCGGCCGCGTCAAGACCGACTGGTCCAAGGCGCCGTTCGTCGCCAACTACCAGAACATCCACCTCGACATCTGCGAGTGCGGCTACGGCGGCTGCAGTACCAACTGCCCGGCAGCGGCTGCGGCGCCCAACAACGGGGCGTGCCAGCTGAGCCCCGACCAGCGGGGGCTGATGCAGAGCCTGCAGAGAAACTACACCATCTACGACTACTGTAACGACTCCAAGAGGTGGACCAACGGCATCAAGCCAACCGAGTGCGGCCTGCCACAGTACTGATGATCCATTACTCAGCCGCTATGCATACCTTCCGGTGTCTTTTTGGGCCGTGACACCAGGAAGGCCAAATAGTCTCAGTGGTCTGTTACAATTATATATGTTTGTTTATTTGTTTATTTGTTACACATACATGGAATGAAACTTCATTTTGATGCTTCTTTTTTCACTCTTGTCTTGTATTCTTTTTTTTCTAAAGAAGAATCAGATCTTTATGGGCATACTCAGTCATATTAAACATTGCACTATAGGCACATGCCCATACGCTGCCAAAGAGGAATAACAATATTGCATTATTCAAACCGAAATCAAATTCGTCCAAAATGATATTCTTCACTTGATCACGCACAGGAATCAACGCAGAGGAACAATGTTGCCTAGTTAATTTGCAACAACTGAATGTGTGTATCCTATACATACCTCCAAGTAAGGCTTAGAACAACCCTTAGCACTATCAATCTTTGTCATCTCCATGTCCCTTTGCAATCTCTCCGTCGCACTCTTAGACTATTGCTCTGTCTTAATTTTACATCACTAGGTTTATGTCTGTGTGTTGCAATGGGACAACAATTATGTATGTAACTACCCAAAAACCACCCTTGTTAAACCTTTGCTAAACTCTAATAATACCCCAAATCTACCTCCTTAGTAAAGTTTAGTTCCCAAGAACCTAGTCGTAAGCAAACCCTTTAAGTCAAACAATGGGCAACTAGGTGGGTGAAAACTCAGGTGGTTTGAGACCCTTTGGTCACCACCGAAGTAGTGGAAGGAGTGTTTAATGTTCCATGAGTTAAGAATTGTTCTCTTGATTTTGCCTAAACCATTCTTGCTCCTTATTCCATCCAAATTGTACCCTTGCTAGATCTCAATGTTTTCTCCAAACTCTTGCCCTCTCCGTCTTAGATGGTTAAGCCATGCTCCATGACCTTCCTGTGGAAATTGGTTGAATGTGATACCCGTTGGGGTTCACGGATTCGTGTTTATAGGCCAGGAAGAGCCCCCGACGTGGCAGTACAATAGGGTGTCTTGGATTACAAGAAGAGAAACGGAAGGTTACAATCAGTGCTCTACTTCCATATCTACAAATGCCCAATATCAACAATACAAGGAAGATGAATACAAGGTAACAAATCACAGATTCTAACACCCTCCATCAATCATAACTGTCGACCAAGTTGAGATTGTTCCTGAATGTAGTAAGTTGCTGAGTAGGGAGAACTTTTCTAAAACCGTATGCTATTTGATCTCCTGAGCTGATGAACTTGATGTCCAATAATTGTCTAGATGCAACTTGTTCTCTCACAAAATGAAAACTGACGAGATCCTAACATATGGGAATGTTAAGCCTCAGGATCTATGGTTCCCGACCGAAGAGACCCCCTAGCCGATCCCTCCTGGATCGCCCAGGGGCTCGGGGGCTATACCCATTGGGTACGCTTGCGCGCACCCTCAGACTAAGGGACTTGCTCGAGCCCGAGCACGCCAAGGCCTCTGTTTAGGGCTCGGGGGCTCGCCCGAGCCTCAAGCTCCCGATCGATGGGAGACCTGAGCTCGGCCCTCGGCTCTTGCCTGACCTCCAACGCCAACCAATGCCCGGCCAGAAGACGACATGTCCAGAGCCATCGAGGCTTGGGGGCTCCATGACGTAGCACCTTGGGCGGGGCCTTGCCGGCCGCTCCCCCGACAAGGTCACGCACGGGGCGTGATACAAGAAGACAAGTTCCCCCTCGGCCTCCAGGGGCTCGAGCTCTCCCGGGCCCGCGCGTCAGCCCTTGGAGCCAACCTCCTTCGCCACCAAGAAGACTTAGAAGGTCCACCTAGGGGAGGCCGGTCCAAGCTGACACAGCCTGACACGCAGAGTGTTAGAATAGAGCAGCCGAACGATGCCTAGGGCTTCTTCGACTCCACGACATCGCCAAGGTCCACAGAGCGCCGCTGGAAGACCCTCCTAGACTTCGGCGCATGTAGACCATAGGCTTAACCCCCCAAACCATCATGTACCCGACCTATCTCGATATATAAGGGGTAAGGTCGGATCCTAGAGGAGGGAGGACGATCCCAGATAGATCATTCCATTCCTCATCCATCTGCTCCTGCTCAGCACCGAGAGCAGAGCAACCTAGAGAGAGGGGCACTGAGAGCTCCTCCACCGCACCCGTCGTCTTTCTCCTCTTCGATGAGGGGAAGACTCCATCGGCGGCGAGGCAACCCCAGGATTAGCACTGAGCTAACCCCCTACCAAATCTCTTCCTTCCTCCTGTACACTCTGTTGTAACCCCCCGATTTTGGGTGCTCTTGAGTATAAGGATCATCCGCTACTGGACGTTGGTCATCGATCGGCCCGAACCAGGACAAACCATTGCGTCCTCTCTATGATTCTTGTGTTCTTGAGTCCACCCGAGCCACTGGAGATACATACTCTGACACCAACTTGAACAACAATGCTTGCCGCGGTTCTGACCCCGCGATAGCTGGCGCGCCAGGTAGAGGGCAGCGTCAAGTGCGATTCAGGCTCTACTGTGGCCAGAGCCACCCGCCTTGTCGCTGGAGCAAGTGGCACCACCCCAGACGGCGGTGTCTGCTTCCCTGGCGAGTTCTTCATCATAGCCGTCACCTTCTCTCCGGGCCAGGACCTCAACTTTGGGAGCCTGGCCTACATCGCCGAATGCTACGTAGAGCTTCGTTCGCTCGACAAGGCTACGCCAGCGGGCAATGAGCCCCCAGCGCCGCCCCCACCGCTGGACCTCCTGGGAGCAGATTTTGAGGTCCTGACCCAGCAGATCCGGTGCGGTCTAGGTCCACACCCTACCGTGTTGGATTGCCGCCAGATGTTCTACATGCTGGCTAGCATCCACCACCAAATCACCACCGCGAGGTGCTCCCGCCGCCCGACCACTTCTGGTACTACCTCCCGGTCCTGCCTTTCGGGATCTAGAATGCGGTGGCGTCCTTCCAGCTGGAGCTAGAGCACCTCGTCAGCCATGAGACACCACATAGCGCCATCCTCTCCGGCGTCATGGGGGCAAACATCCCCTCACTGTGCACCTTCCTCGAGATCCTCTCGAGGAATGGCCTGGAGTATGACTCCGACGACATCGATTGCTACGCCCCGCCATGCATGTGCTATCACATCGATGGCGAGGTTCCCGCTGAGGAGGCGCCTAAGCTCACGCCGCCGAACCAGAGTCCCCGTAGCCATGCGAACTACCTTTGAGAGAAGGCCGCTCGCTTGTAGGCTCTGCAAGTGGACCTCGAGGCCGCCGAGACGGAGCTCAAGCACCAAAGGCAGAACTTTGTGCGGCAACAAGCCAAGCAGCCTCCCAGCAATGACGACGACGCCCGCACAAGGGCTCCCAGCACTCTGCGCTTCCCCCGAGCGGCCTACAACATGGTGGCCATGGCCTGTCGGCTGGAGGACATCTCCAACACGCCGGACCCAAAGACCAACGAGTGGCTGCACGAGGCGAGACGGCTTCTTCGCATCACCCTTGAGTAGCAGGCCAAGAGCTCTGCTTCCCGACGTCACGTTAGGCCGTCCCAGCCGACCACCTCCAATGGGGATCGCTCCGATGCCCATGCCTCGTCGATAGGCGGGAGCGGTGGTGACTCCTTTGGCAGTAGCTCTGACCGTCCGAGGACCAGGGGCGCCAAGCCTCGGTGGGAGTGAAGGCACGAGCTTTCCCCATGGCGGCCCCCGCGCACCACCGAGTCAGCGATGGCTACGACATCTACGACACCATCGAGTCCAGGCACCACACACAGGCGTAGTCTCGCACTCAAGAGTGGTGTGTAGGGGGCACCGCCTCAGATCACTTCGACCCCCAGGTGTTCGGGGTGGCGATCCAAGCAGTTCCGGCTACCAACGCACATGTCCAAGTATGACGGCGAGACTAACCCGAACCATTAGCTCAAGGACTACTGCCTTGCCATGAAGGTTGGGGGTCGGATGATGACTTTGCCATCCATTACCTTCCTCTGCTTCTATCGAGCTCGGCCAGAGCTTGGCTCAAGCAGCTTGAGCCCGGCAACATCTGCTGTTGGGGTGACCTCCATTCCGTCTTCGTCGGTCACTTCTAGGGTATGTACACTCAACTCGAGAACTCATGGGACCTCCATAACTGTAGGCAGAGGGTCGACGAGACCCTCCGGGATTACATCCAGCACTTCTCCAAGAAGCTCAATGAGCTCCCCAACATCACTAACGCTGAGGTGATCAATGCCTTCACTTGCGGCATGACCTACAAAGCACTCATCCATGCGCTCAGCCATGAGACATCGTGCACGACGTGGGAGCTCCTGGACATCGCCACCCAGTACGCCACTGGCGAGGAGATGTCCAGGCTAACTTCAGTGGCAAGGTCTAGGCCACCGACCACCTCAGCGGTAAGGATGGCGGCGATGACCCTGCCTCATCCTAGCATCACCATGACAAGAGGACCAAGGACTAGAAGCGCCACAGGGAGGAGATGGTCACTGCGGCCGACTACGTCGCTAGGCCTTAGCCCCACAGGCGCGCTGCGCGCCCTGAGCACACCGCGAAGGCTATATGAAGTTAGTAGCTGCGGCGTGAGGCATCAACCAAGGAACCGCAAGGAATCCGTCGACACGGCCTCGCAAACTAATCAAGATGTGGCTCCATACGGGCATGCACCACGACACGCCCAAAGCTCGCCTCGCCTCGCTTGGACACACCCGAGGGCTTCGCCTTCCCACGCAGATTGACTCCGTCAGGCTCTGATTACGTCCGTTCGCCTACGACTCCGCGTACCCGTCTGAGCTGTCAAACAAACCATCCGAGCAGTCAAGCGAGCCACTAAGCGAGCTCCCCGCACCGCCGACCAGTAACATAAGGACGACGTCGCCTAGACTACTTACTCCGACCACATGCCGCGTCGCAATGATGATCGCCGCGAAGAACAGCGCCGTGACAACCGCGACCGCCGCCATGACGACAGTTCGGAAAGCTCGAGGGCCGGGCAATTTCGTCAACGCCGACCAGATAACGCCATATGCCATCGACTAGATGTTCTGTCTAAAGCTAAGTCACGCTTTAATATTCTTCTAAATATTCTCCAACATCCATATATCTCCGCAATGTTTCTCCGAACTGTTTTCTCCATGTTTGTTCTACAAACGATTTTCTTTCATGTATACCATCTTAAAGATGATATACAACTAAGTCTAAGGCAAATCCCCGAACAGTCATGTTGATGCTCGGATATTCTTAGAGACGGCCCTGTCTCTAGCTTCTCCCTACACGTGCACGAGCGCCTGCCCTCTGCGTTTGGGGTGGTCGGCAGCGCCTCCTTAGCGACGCCCTGCTCTTCCTATACGCACACAGGCTCTGTGCTCTGCATTATGGTTAACAGGCTAGCTAGGGCTGGAGACTCAGCTACACACTAACTGGTCGGATGGTTTATATTAAATATAAACACATCTTCAGAATAACACTAATTGTTCACACCAACTGATTGCCTAGCTACATATGCTATTTCATCACCATTGCCCATTCTTCTCCGAAGTTCACATATTCTATTTTTACATCATGTACTACCCATTCTACACATTTTTTCACAGGGGCGAGGCTCGGTCAACGAGCTTACGCTCAGGGACTGGACAAGATGATCATCGTCTGGGTGGTCAAACCACCTATCGGACAGACTTCACTGCCAACCAACTGATTGGACTGCTCGGCACTCACTCCTGCTCGACGTTCACTTTGCCGCCGACCAGTTGGTTGGACTGCTCGTCACATGGGCTTCATCGTCAGCTACGCTGGGGGCTTGCCAGCTATGATGGGGACTCCTCGGCGTTCGGATTCTTCGTGCAAGAGCCAGGATCATCGTCTACGTGGTCAGACCACCTGGTACTCAGACTTCTCTACTGATCAACTGGTCGGACCGCTAGGTTCATGACTTTCGTCGCCAACCATCTGGTCGGACTATTCGGCGCTCACTTCTACTTGGCACTCACTTCGTCGCCGACTAGTTGGTTGGGCTGCTCGGTGCTCGTTTCTTCGCCAACCAATTGGTCGGATTGTTCGTCGCTCGCGCTTCGTCGTCAGCTACACTGGGGCTTACTAGCTAAGCTGGGGACTCCTCGGCGTTCGGATTCTTCGTGCAAGAGTTGTCAGCTAAGGCTGGGGACTCCCTTGGCGGCCGGGTCTTGCTACGTCTCATCGGTGTGCTATCAAGCTGCTCCATGCTGCTCGAATTAGGGTGCTGATCTTGGGCAGCACGTTTAGGGTCTTGATACGCGCATGTCAGATGACGTCGGCAAGCTTTCAGACTTCTTTTCTTTGACCCTGCTATAAGATTCATTCTTCACCTTCCAGCAGGCTCAGGGACTAAGGCCCTGTTCGCTTGTCTTATAATTCGTACTTTTTAGCTTGTTTTTTCAGCTGAAACAATATTTTTCTCTCGCAACAAATCAGCCGGAACAGTGTTTCGGCTTGTTTTTTCAGCGAAGCGAACGAGACCTAAGTGGCTACACTTCACCTGGCGGTGAATGTAGTGCTTATTTCTTATTTACCCTCCTTATTCACGGAGTCTAAATGGCTACACTTCTCGTAAGAGGAAGAATTTTTAAATTTTATCTTGAGCCCCTTACATCCTTCTGGCAGGTCTTACTTGGCTAAGTCCGAGGTCTTCTAACCAGTTAAATTGGTCGGCATTGACTTTCATCGCCCAGGTCACCCGTTAAACTGGTCGGCTTCGACTTCCACTACTCGGATCACCAGTTAAACTGGTCGGCTTCATGTAAAACTGGTCGGACTTTGTTCAAGACAGCGTTGCTCAAAGAATACAAGGCGCTCGGGGACTAGCTATGGGGGGTATAACCCTAGGTACCCACGACAATGGACATGTGCCGCACCACCAGGGGAGGTCCAGCCCATAAGATCATGGCCTATGGTGCTCGGCTCTGGTCGGCGTGCACCGCAAGACAATCAGAAGAATCTTGAAGATAGAGAAGGGTCTGTTCGGATATGATAGATGTCGTATTCCTTGTAAATACTTATCATATAGCCAAATAGATATAGATCTAACCGACTTGTAACCCTATCCCCTAGACTATATAAGGCGGGCAGGGACCCCCTCGAAATCATCTCATATTTAATAAAATACAACAAAGACATAGGATGTAGGGTATTACGTCGATTAGATGGACCGAACCTGTCTAAATCGCTGTCTCTGCGCCTTGTGTCACCATCTTGTTCGTATCACGCGCACCTCCACCGATTCATCTACTACCGTGGGTATACCCCTCTCGGTAGACTGCCGATCAGATTTCGTCCACAGAAGTCCTTCGGGGCGAAACCTTTTTTGTTGTTCTTCCTTCTAGACTCAATGTAGCGTTGATGATGAAACTTGATAATGAGATGAATTACAATTTTGATCATTTAACCATGTTCTCAATGTTACTTTCCAATGAACTTATACTTGTTAAGAATCGAAACATGAGTCATGAGCATGTCATCCTATTAATGAACGCCACGCTTGTCTGCAAAGGTACAAATGCTTGATAATTCACTTTGCATCCACCAAATATGTACCTTGGAATTAAGTCTGGTGAGTACGCAACGTACTCATGGTGTTACTGATAAGTTGTTTTGCAGGTATTTTGGCTTGGTGTCCGGCGAGCCAAGCTCAATGAAGTCGAAAGTTAGCGGACCTTGAGATGGGCATCCCCAACTTGAGCTGCATGTTATTCTGATGATAGCATTAAGAGTCTGAGAGGGAACCTATGATATAGAAATGGGTTAAAACATGATCATGTAGGCAGTGTATGTAAACTTACATCTTAGATATTTTATGTAATGGTCAATGATGTTTCAGCAATTAAGTCCATTTTTCCATATATAATGGTTGTGACGAGCAAATTGCTTGATGAATGACTCGTGTTGTGTAGCTCAACCATAAAAGTTATTGAAGATGAGGTACGGATGATACTCTCCTGAGGATCTCGGTGTCGACTTAGGGTAATATGGGTCGGTCGAGTGAACGACACCCGGGTTACCCACGCGGTCGCCCCGAAGACCTCACAAACTCACTCTCTAGATCATCTTTGGAGAGTCATTTGCATAAAAATCGTGTTCTATGTCTTTTCATTTTCCAATAGTTTTTCTCCGTTATAAAAAAACAGTTTTTCTGTATCTTGCGTAAATTCTAGAGAGCCATTCTCGTTTTCTATATTTGTCTAGCGAGAAATCCGAAATAGAAAATATCTATATTCTCACAACCAAATAAAGAAGCTGTTAGAGAGTACTTCTTCGTTAAAATCTCCGTTCCTAGCAATTAGGATAGTGAAAATTATCCTACCTAAGGCACTTTGGTCTTATATTTTCAAAATCTATTGGTGCTGCCAGGTGAAGACGTCAAAATAGCCTGGCTCGGAGCTCAGAGAAGTTTGCTGCTGCACTTTGAAGCCAAGCAAGCAAGCTGCTCCGACATCCCTTTCTGTCACCGTTCAACGTTGCGTGTGCGCTGCAAATCTAATCCATTTCCGACCTTCTAGAAGCCTTTCAACCCGCCGCTTTGCCCGCTCCCCTCTTGCCTCTTCCGTCTTCGGTACCCATTTCGTCGCAGCAGTCGGAACCCTAGTCCCCCCCTCATTTTTCTTCCACCCGCCGTCGCGGCGCCGATAGAGCTAGGCCTGAAAGGCGTAGGATAAGGTGGTGGTGGAGGAGGGGATGGACCGGATCGTCGGCAGCAAGTACAAGCTGGGCCGTAAGATCGGGAGCGGCTCCTTCGGGGAGATCTACCTCGGTTCGACCCCAATCATGACCGCTGTTATTCACTTTGCTTGGTGTTTGGATCTGACGAGGTTTTGGTGCTGTGCTTGTTGTTGTCCCGTCCCTCTCTATGCAGCGACGCACGTCGACACCTACGAGATCGTCGCCGTCAAGATCGTGAGCACCTCCCCTCCCTCAGCGTTCCCTCGTTTTTGTTTGATTTTGTTGGAATTCGTCTAGGGTTTCGCGGCTTCTGGTGATGCCTATTGCGTGGCGCAGTAGGTTATGAGGTGGAGCTTGAAAATTGCGTAATGTTGATTCGGCGTCCTGGATCCCTAGTTTTTTGTGCTCTAGGTTACTTGCAGCCTCTTGTGCATGTGTGCGTGGTCCGGCTTACAAGTTTCTAGTCTTGAGTTCATTTTCTGGTAGATATTGAAGTATCAGACCTGGGCAACATGCCTTTGTGTTGCTGTTTATAGGTACTGTGGAGCTGCGAATTTCACAAAGGAAAGTGGCGCTCTTTTGTGTTGAATCCTTCGATCGTTGTTGTTTTATGATTATGAGTTGCTGCTAGTAAGAGGAGCAATGTTTTTGGAGGTGTAGGTTAAGGGTTCTGTGAGCTCCCAGAGTTTCTAACTTTCCAGTGGATATGTGGTTTCAAATAGTTTTCCGCCACCACAGTGATACTTTTGTGTTACCTTAGTCTCATAGATGGAAATGCTATCTAAAAGGTCTTCTGATATGAATCTGTTTTAATTCTATCCAGTTTCTCTTCATGTTAGTTTATATCAACATATTACATTTATCTCATGATGCTTGCCGCCTTGCACTGAAGTAGGTATCATTAATAAGAATTGAACAGGCCTAATAACTTCTAAGTAAACAGTGTTTTGACATTTATATGCTAGGAAGTTGCTCTAGACCATGAGACCCATGAGCAAACAGTCCATTATTGTGGACCATCAGCCAGTGTGTCTAGTCTGGGCAGCTTGCCTTTGTGTTGCTGTTTGTTGGTATCGTGGAGCTGCGAATTTCATGAAGAAAAGTGCATCTGTTGCCAATTAAATCCCCTGTGATATTGGGTTTTATTTGATTGTGTTGCTTCTAGTAAGAGGAGCAGTGTTTTGGAGGCGTATTGCTTGGTGTTCTGTGAGGTCCCATAGTTTCAAATTATCCAGTGGATATTGTGGTTTATAGTTTTCCTGCCACTAGTGATACTTTTGTGTTACCTTAGTCTCAGATGGAAACAATGCAATGTAAAATGTCTTCTGATATAAATCTGTTTTTGATTCTATCCAGTTTCTCTTATGCTAGTTGATATCAATAGAGTATGTGTATCTGTGGTGCTTGTTGTGCCTTGCATGGAAGCATGCACTATGAAATAGGAAAGTACTAGTGCTATGTTGCACGTAGGGGTAGCTATCACAAGTAAGAACGGGAATGTATCCCTAACATTTAGCGAACAGTGATATGACATTTATATGCTAGGAAACATCTCAAGGCCTTGAGAGTATTAGACTAATAATCACTAAACATTCAATTATTCTATTATAGTATTATTGGTGTGCAATCTTGTGACCTAAGCTTGGCAGAGCCATAAGCCACATGTGTGTCTATTCTGGGAAATCTTCTCCCGGAAACATCAAATGATGATGTTGTTTGTATCTTTGATTTCTTTATTTTGTTAAGTTTCATACGTTATTGCTTGTAGAATTGTCATATGGTGTGGTGTAATGCAGTACAAGTTTAATGTCTCTTTTGTGGGAACTATGCGGGTTGTGTTGAGTTGGCACTCCATGACATCTAATCATGTCAAACATGTTACTTCTGGTTTCAGGATTGTGCATTGTATTTGTATTTTTTCTTGTACACACAATAGAGTTGTGTGCCATTATATTAGAGATAGTCCTAGAAAAAAAGGTTTTTTGTTTGGTAGTTTTGCTTGCACCATGTGCTGTGCGGTACTTTTAGGAGTTTTTGAGTTGAGATGCTGTTAGAGATTGAAGTATTAGAACTGAGTAGCACACCTTTGTTTTTCTGTTTAATGGTATCATGAAGCTGTGATTTAACGAAGCAAAGTAACTGTTACTTTGGGAAATTAGAAGAGAGACAACAGATTCATAGATAACTGATGGACCTTCATACACTTAACAGTATATTTCCTTTTGGATCATCTGTTTGACATGATATGAGCTGTTCCCGCTAAAAGGAGCAGGGTTTTTTTGGAGGCGTGCTTGCTTCAGTGTTTTGTACGTCCAACTTTTCGAATGTATATTGTGGATTCAAATGATTTCCCTGCCACCTCGGTGCTACTTTTGTGTATAGGCCCATAGACGGAGACAACACAATGTAAAAGGTCTTGATATGAATCTGTTTCCAGTTTGTCTTAAAGCTAGTTCATATTAATAGACTATGACTTCCTCATGATGTTTGGTGCCTTGCATGCAGGGGTAGCTTTCATTAATAAGTACTGAACGGGTCCCTAACTTCTATGTAAATAGCGATTTGACACTTGTATGCTAGGAAGCTGCTCAAGACCATGAGAACAATCACAAACATTCCATTGTTGGGTTGCAATCTTGTGACATAAGTATGACTGTATGAGCTTGGTATAACCATCAGCCACGTGTCTGTCTAGTTTGAGAAATTTACTCCCAAAGCCATCAAAGGATTTGGTTGTTTGTAACTTTAATTTCTTAACTTTATTAAAATCTCCTGAATTGTTGCTTGTAGAGTTGTTGTATGGTACGCTTTAATGCATTACAAATTCAAATTCTCTTTTGTAGGAGCTATGTGGTGTTTCTTTAAGTTGGTATTCCATGACATCTAATTGTGTCAAACGTTTTCTTACTGTTTCATTCTGCACTACTAAGTATTTGCTCTTTGTACTTGCACTGTTTTAGTTTCCCAGCACTAGCAGTGTTAGCTGGACACGGTTGCAGGTATCAGAGTTCGAATGGGGATATTAGTGTTCCGATTTGGCAAACTCTAGAAAATAGGTTAGAGGACTCATCTAATATATATTAATTTTCAGTTATATAAGGTCAATTTTAAGTCTTTTGGCACAAAACAGGCTCCTAATGAATGCCATAGGTACTAACCTATATAATTACTTATGGTGAATATAGGTCCACAAGATAAATGGGGAAGGGGGGGAAATAGAGAAAAAACAAGATGGGCTTCCTTGTACTTGGCCTGCTGGCCCATCCAGCCCAACTATAGAGACCTTAATAATAATGCCGTAATCCCTCCTCCGCTCCTGACAGACACACAGCGGCACAGCTGCCCCCCTTGGTTGAGTTTTTTTTCTTTTTCCGTTAGTCACATATGTTGGTGTAATGGTGTGTGAGCCACATATCCTGCAATTTCCATATCTTTTTGTCCTGATTAGGGAAAGAAGAGTTTCTTCATAGTCCCTCATATCCAAAATCAATATGTTCGGCTTGTGTACATGACACTTTTAGGCAGAATCTATCCCGTTAGCTGTATGTGACTACTGATCTCCCACTAATGAGCAATGAATAGAACAATCAAGTGCAAACAGTTCACTCAGAAAACAAAACCATCTCTGTAAAATGACATCTATTAGGATAGGATACGTAGTTATTTAATGAAGTTACAACTGAATGGAGCTATTTGACTTTTCACAGTACAAATTAATATATGCTGTAGATGTATATTTGACATGTTTTTTTTGTAACTTATGTTGCATTATTATTATGTACAGGAAAGCAGCAAAACCAATCATCCACAGTTGCTATATGAGGCCAAACTGTACAATGCTCTTCAAGGAGGGAGTATGTGTTTTGAGTACATACAAATCTTACTTTGCTGATTGTCATACCATTATTTGTGTTGTAATTGTTGCTATTTTGAATCCATGTAGCTGGTATTGCAAACATAAAATGGTGCGGCATTGATGGCGATGAAAACATTCTTGTTATCGATTTACTCGGACCAAGCCTTGAAGATCTGTTTGTTTATTGTGGCCGGAGATTCTCACTGAAGACAGTCTTGATGCTAGCGGATCAGATGGTAATAATTCTTCTTCAACCTCCCTAGGTTTTATTTACTAATAATGTGATGAATTTGTGAAAGGTGCCAACCACTTATGTTTATTTTACAGTGATGCCTGTCTAGCACACTTTTACTCCATATTAGTCACAGTGCATCCCACAATTGCTATTTGTGCATATGCCATTAGCACCTGTTTGTGATCCACTGGATTGTGGCATATGTTAGGGAACACTCAAATTTAAGTGGATTGCACCCCATTTTAAGTGGATTACACACAAATAGCTGCCACTGGAGCACACTCAATCTCAAGTGGCTTACACACAAATAGCTACTTTGGGATAGCACATGAGCAAAACAGTGAAATGGCCCTGTCTTTCTGTTCCTTATTGAACCTTACAAAATATCATCTCTTTTTTTTTACCCATGTTGTAGTTGGTTAGAACTGGTTTTGTTTTACTATTGCAGATAACAAGAATAGAATTTATGCATTCTAAAGGCTATCTGCACAGAGACATCAAGCCTGATAACTTCCTCATGGGCCTTGGTCGAAAAGCCAACCAGGTTTGTATGTGGGCCCTTTCTGTTTTAGCTTGCAGATTGTTATACAACTAGAAGCATACCCACACGTTGCTGCGGGGATCACAAATGATTTGGATTGAAAGTTGACGACTTATATTTACTTGCGTGAAGGAATAAACTATTATAAATGAATTGTAGTCAATGGTGTGGTATGCCGACGTGGACAAATAAATGCATGTTAGTGGCTTGCTGACGTTGATAGCTTGAATGTAAGCATGCAAGGTGGGGCGGGCCGTCGCTTCAACCCACTGGGATGCCCGCGCCACCAACCCACATAATACCACAGCCTAGACCACTTAGAGTGGGCTGAAGTGTCCGATGAAGTGACAAAAACATTGACCTTTCTACCCTGGGGGATATTTAGGTTGAGTGCTTTATGTAAGGACAAATTTGGAAAGAGTGAAGTGCATATATATAGTGGAGAAGGCTAGTCCAGATAAACATCCCTTGGAGGTCTCATTTTGTGTGTGAGTGAAGGTTAGGGTTAGAGGGAGAAAGGGAGGAGGGGCTCTTTGTTCTTGAGCAATTTTTTATTCTAGATCTGTATTAGACTAGGAGAAGCTTGTAATCGTACATCTTGAGGTAATCCAGGTATCAATCTTGTGCAAGTTTGTTCCCCTCTGGTTAAATCTGAAATTTATCTTTTTTAGATTTTCGGAGCCAATGTTTGGGGAATTTTTATGTGCTGCTTGGGATGAGTTATAGAAATGTTTTTGGAGTGTTTTGGTACCCTTGGAACTTGTTCATGTGATGACTTCAAGCCCTGCAAAAATCCTCATTTCTTGCATCCTTTCGTGGATTTCGTGAAAATTCTTGAGCTGGAGTTCTTTGGTTCTTCTTGAGTGGTTTCTAGGTATATGTCTTCCTTTCAACATATTTCCCATTACTATTTGCTTCCATGAGAAAACCCGGTTTCAATAGAGGAATTCTTCAGTTCATAGTGAATCTCTAATCTTTTTGTAGTTGTTCTTTGGGCTGAAGTGTCTGACCCACATCGAGCTTGAGAAGTTCAGTGTTGATCCCATCGAGCTCCTTCGGCGGACGATGCCCACCTCGCCCCCGAGCCCAGCCTCAACCCCGAGTTCGTGGCTATACCGGCCGAGGAACACGTCGCCCACCTCAACCGCCACTGCCGCGTGGCCGACTTCGCTGACACGGCGCTCGTGTTCGCCTTGTGCGAGCGCAGGCTCGCGGAGGCCGGGCTTGTCCCCACGGGAGACGAGCGCATGGACATGATGCGGGACGAGATCAGGGTGCGCGAGGCCTAGCCCACTTAGATAGAGTGGGCTGAAGTGTCTGACCCACATATCCCGACGACAACCCACATCACCGCCACCTCCACTCCATGGCGAACGCGGCCACCTACCTCAGACCATGTTCCACTTTTGATGTCTATTTCGACCCACCACACGTGTTCCAGTTCGAGAATTGTTGGCTGCTTCATAACGACTTTGAGAGCAAGCTGACCCACACCTGGTCTGATCAATTTCTCCGGGAGCATGAAGTGGTCTCATGTGTAAACTCTAGTGTTCCCCTGACCAGCGTAAGTCTGACCTTCGGATCCTCATAAATGCCCTTGATCAATGCCGCCACTGCCACCTCCACTACCGGCGCTTCAGAACAGAAGTTCAGCGTCGATCCCATCGAGCTACAACTGCGAGCGAAGCATGGCCTCCTCCAGCTCTAGATCACGTGGCCGCGGATCCAGCTCCCAAGGCAGCTGTCGGGCCCCGCCAGAGCTCCTCCGGTGGATGACGCCCACCTCGCCCCCAAGCCCAGCCTCAACCCCGAGTTCGAGGCTATGCCGGCCGAGGAACTCGTCGCCCACCTCAACCGCCACCGCCGCACGGCCGACTTCGCTGACAAGGCACTCGTGTTCGCCGAGTGCGAGCGCAGGCTTGCGGAGGCCGGGCTTGTCCCCACGGGAGACGAGCACATTGATATGTTGTGGGATGAGATCAGGGCGTGCGAGGCCTAGCCCACTTAGAGTGGGCTGAAGTGTCTGACCCACATATACCGACGACAACCCACATCGCCGCCACCTCCACTCCATGGCGAACGCGGCCGCCTACCTCAGACCATGTTCCACTTTTGGTGTCTATTTCGACCCACAACACGTGTTCCAGTTCGAGAATTGTTGGCTGCTTCGTAACGACTTTGAGAGCAAGCTCACCCACGCTTGGTTCCAGCAACAGTTTCTCCGGGAGCATGAAGAAGTGTTGTCTCATGTGTAAACGCTAGTGTTCCCCTAACTAGCGTGGGTCCGACCTTCGGATCCTCATAAATGCCCGATCAATGCCACCACTGCCACCTCCACTACCGATGCTTGAGAAGTTCAGTGTCGATCCCATCGATCTACAGCTGCGAGCGAAGCATGGCCTCCCCCAGCTCTAGATCATGTGGTTGCGGATCCAGCTCCCAAAGGCAGCTGTCGGGCCTCGCCGGAGCTCCTCCGGTGGACGACGCCCACCTCGCCCTTGAGCCCAGCCTCAACGCCGAGTTCGAGGCTATGCCGGCCGAGGAACTCGTCGCCCACCTCAACCGCCACTGCCGCACAACCTACTTCGTTGACGCGGCGCTCGGGTTTGCCGTGTGCTAGCGAAGGCTCGCGGATGCCGAGGAGCTTGTCCGCGCAGGCGACGAGCGCATGGACATGCTGCGGGACGAGATCAGGGCGTGCGAGGCCTAGCCCACTTAGAGTGGGCTGAAGTGTCTGACCCACATGTCCCGACGGCAACCCACATCGCTCCCACCTCCACTCCATGGCGAACACAGCCACCTACCTCATACCATGTTCCACTTTTGGTGTCTATTTCGACCCACCACACATGCTCCAGTTCGAGAATTGTTGGCTGCTTCATAACGACTTTAAGAGTAAGCTCACCCACACCTGGTCTGATTCACTTGATTCCAGCAACAATTTCTCCTAGAGCATGAAGAAGTGTTGTCTCGTGTAAACGCTAGTGTTCCCCTAACCAGCGTGAGTCCGACCTTCGGATCCTCACAAATGCCCTTGATCAGTGCCGCCACTGCCACCTCCACTACCGGCACTTGAGAAGTTCCGTGTCGATCCCATCGAGCTACAGCTGCGAGCGAAGCATGGCCTCCTCCAGCTCTAGATCACGTGGTCGCGGATCTAGCTCCCAAGGCAGCTGTCGGGCCCCGCCGGAGCTCCTCCGGTGGACGACGCCCACCTCGCCCCCGAGTTTGAAGCTATGTCGGCCGAGGAACTCGTCACCCACCTCAACCGCCATCGACGCACGGCCTACTTTGTTGACGCGGCGCTCGCGTTCGCCGTGTGCGAGCTCATGGAGGCCGAGGAGCTTGTTCGCGCGTGCGACGAGCGTATGGACATGCTGCGGGACGAGATCAGGTCACGCGAGGCCTAGCCCACTTAGAGTGGGCTGAAGTGTCTGATCCACATATCCTTGTGGCAACCCACATCGCCGCCGCCGCCACCTCCACTCCATGGCGAACGCGAATACAGGCGTCGGCCTCATGGCACCCCCCACTACCGGCGCTTGAGAAGTTCAGTGTCGATCACATCAAGCTACAGCTGCAGTGAAGCATGGCCTCCTCCAGCTCTAGATCCCGTGGCCACGGATCTAGCTCCCAAGGAAGCCGTCGGGCCCCCATCGGAGCTCCTCCGGTGGATGATGCCCACCTCGCCCTCGAGCCTGCCTCAACCCCGAGTTCGTGGCTATGCTGGCCGAGGAACTCGTCACCCACCTCAACCGCCACCGCCGCACGGCCGACTTCGCTGACGCAGTGCTCGTGTTCGCCGCGGCGTGAGCACAGGCTCGCGGAGGTTGAGGAGCTTGTCCGCGTGGGCGACGAGCTCATGGACATGCTACGGGACGAGATCAGGGCGCGCGAGGCTCAGATCCACCGGGCCGCCAAGACGGTGGAGGTGCTGCGGACCGAGATCTGCGCGCTGCAGCAGCCCAGGGCCGCCGACGCCAAGGCGCGCGTGCGGCATGGCTCTGGAATCAGCGGGCGCAACCTGACGCAGCAGGTTGGTCGTGGTCGCGAGCTCGCCACACAAGACTTCCGTGCTAGTAAGGGCGTGCGCTACGACGCTGGCGTTGACACCATGCCTGCCAGGGGTGTGGTCGTCGGCGATGATTATGTTTGTTCGAGAAGTTCAGTGTGTGCAGTACTAATGTTTGTCGTTGTTTCAGACACCTTTGCGTGCAAGCTGTTTTCCCGGGATGGATTCACTGGCTCACATGTTTTCCTGGGATCGATTCAACAAGCTCTGCGGCCCTTTATGGGCTGCTACACCAACCCACAAAAAGATAGCGGCAAATGTGGGCTGCCGCATTAGCTCTCGTAGGACTTGCGGCTCGAGCGGACCTGGGGCGGGCTGCCCACCGCCGCCCCATTTGCATCCTTACTTGCATGAATAGATATGTGCCATAATTGCATGCGTTAGTGGTCTGCGGATGTGGATGACTTGCATGTCGTGATAGAATTCTATTGGGGTTTAGGATTTTAAGCTATAGATACAGATATATAGAATATAGATATATACATTTGAAGCTGGGCCGCTGGGGTGATGCAGATTTGTGGATTGTAACAATCTTGCATGTGTATTATTACAATCTGGTTACAACCTGACCGTCTGTCTCAATCTGCAAGCTAAAACAAACAGAACCTTAGTTGGCCAGTGATACTTAGATTGCACTATGAATTTTATCGAACAATCAGGAGAGTTGCGTATCGTTAAAGGAGAAGAATGATTGCGCCACAAATGTTTATTTTGATTATTTTGTGTTCCTGTCAGGTTTATGTAATTGACTTCGGGCTCGCAAAGAGATATCGTGATTCAACCACCAACCGTCATATACCTTATAGGTGAGCCAGTGATTTTTGAAACACATTTCTTCCCAAACTATCATATTTTTGTTTAACTTTTCATTTTATTCTTCTTTTTGCAATTGTGGTAATACAATGTTTATTGTAGTTAACATACTTGTTTTTACAGAGAAAATAAAAACTTGACTGGCACAGCACGCTATGCTAGCCACAATACTCATCTTGGGATTGGTGAGTAATATATGGCCGTTCTATTTTCCATTTATCTCTTGTGCACATGTATATTGTAACACTAAAATAGCATTGGTTCTATAGATTATTGTGCACATGTATATTGTAACACTAAAATAGCACTGGTTCTATAGATTATTGAACAAAATTATAGGCATTGTGTTTTCCTTTGGTCCACTATCACTAACTTACTTCTGTTACCAGAGCAAAGCCGCAGAGATGATTTGGAATCGATTGGATACGTTCTCCTGTATTTCCTCAGGGGAAGGTATGATTTTGTGTTAAAGATCTCTATTGTGTCTTTTTTTTCACCATTGTCCTAGAATAATGCTGCATGTGTAGCGGTCATTTCTAAAAACCATGTTTTCTGGCTTTCTGTAATGTTTTTTAGACAGTAAATGTCCATTGGAAATAAAATATATTACACCGTTTTTCCCATTGGCTCTTGCATTCATACCCCTGTTTTCTATTTAAATTGTGGTTTTGCCCCTGTTTTTTTTTTACTTTATGAATTTACCCCTGCGTTTTTAAAACGAAGCACCACTTTGCCCATATTCCGTCATCCTCCCTTAACGGAGTTAACTTTTGTACAGGAGGACAAATATGACCATGTGATTTTGCCCTGGTTTTGTAGGGCTGTTTGTGATTTTCCCCCTTATTTGGAATAAGACATTTATATTGTCTTTTGACAAAAATGGTTAGATTTGGTCAAATGTATTTGGCACAATTTGCAATTATGTCAAATCAGATTTAATATTGAAAATACATCGCATCCACTGTGCCCTGCTCCGCATCCACCATGCTCTGGTACACCCCTGCATGTCAAACCATTCCAGCACATTTCTCTTAGAATAGAAGAAAAAAGAGAAAAAAGTTATTTTTGGAATGAACAGAAGTATCCATCGTTTCTGTTAAGAGAAGAACAAATTAGCGCAGCTGAACCAAACAGAACAGACCCTCTCGCCCTGGCAGGCTGGCAGCAGCATGTTGGAGTATAAGTGAATTGCCCACCTCTTCCGATCTGCTTAAGCTTTTGGGTTGAATTGGTCGGTGCATGCAACTTAATAGCAAGACGAACACACAACAATGGAAAACAACAAAAAAACAAGCAATTTGCGTTTTTAAAAAGATCTTTCTTGATCCTGCAACTTATCATCGATCTTGTGAAGGACCTTCACTTTCTTGAGGCAGCCGTCACAGTGGATATTCACTTTGAGCACGCAGGTCTGGGGACAGACAAACAGGAAAAAAAAACGTCGTCGAAACAGATTGGGAGAAGACATACAGGCGAAAGCGAAACAAAATCAGCCCGCCGCGCCAGCCGCGCGTGGCCGCAACACCCTCTCGCGCTCGCCCTGTGTGACCGCTGCACCCGCCCTGCGCGGGCACGCTGCGCTCGCCCCGCGTGATCGCCCCGCGCTGGCTGCGGCCACCCCGTGCCAGCCCGCCTGCGTGCTGCGAGCGCCTGCGCCACCCCGCCATTTGCGCCACTGCTTGCACTAGGTTCAGGCTATCTAGACGGGGGGATGGGCTTGGTTGGATAGCTTGGATAAGGGCATTTTGGTCATTTTGCATCTGACTTTGTGTTTTATTTTTTAAAATCGTTTAATCCCCCTCCAAATTACAGACATCCAAACCTGGACACGCCCCGCCCACGGTGGGGTTTTGGGGGTGCGGATGCCGTCACCGTGCCGTTACGTGCCCGTCTGTCTGTTCCAAGTGGAGGTGGCTCCCCCTTTCTCTCGCTCGGTTCGTGGAACCGGTCGTGGGCTGAGCTGGGTTTCCTTCTCGATATCGCATTGAGTGGCCCATTGCTTGTGAGGCTGTGACCACGGGGGTGCTGGCGCCCCCTGGCACGTCATCCTCATCTCGCGATCTGCGCTCATGGCCTGGCCCATGATATTTCCGTGGTGAAATATTAGACCTTTAGCAAACCCACATCTAGGGTTTGGGCTACAAGATGAACGCAACTGAGAAGAGGCGTAGACTGGGTATGGGATCGGACAATCCAAAACCTGCATGCGGAGGGGAGACACGATCGAGCTAAGGATGCAAGTGGCACTGACTTCGAGTCCAGGCGACGGCAGATCGGCTGGGAGGCAAGCCTGCAGGCTGCTGCTTGGGATCTGTCTGAGCAAGGCCGACGAACGAGGAGGGGATACCAGGGACCTGCTGTGGCTGTGCTTCTGGTGGGCCACCACAGTGGGGAGGCTTCCTGGACCAGGGGCAAATGGCTCCTTCATTTTAAAATAACGAGGGTAAAATCACAAAGTTGAAAAAATAGGGGTAAAATCACAATTAAATTTTTGAACGGGGGCAAAAACACCATTTTTCCCAGTATATTATGTCGTTATATGCCTGAAGCCAAACAATTAGTACAGTTGTCTCAATATGCCAGCTATCTTTGATCGTGATTTCTTGTGTAGGAAACATTTTATATGCTAGCTATCTTTGATCATAATTTCCTGTGTATGAAACATTTTATATGCCAGCTATCTTTAATTGTGATTTCTTGTCTATGAAACATTTTATGGACTTGGTGTAAGTGTAAGTAAACTATATGTTGTGTCCAGTCTTCCTTGGCAGGGCTTGAAAGCAGCCACAAAGAAACAGAAGTATGACAAAATAAGTGAGAAGAAGCTTTCAACTCCTATTGAGGTTGTTTGAGTAACTTGCTTTGCATTTATGAATGTTAACTCCTTTGATATCTGACAGGATGAGTACTCATGAGTTTTGTTATTATAGGCTCTATGTAAATCCCATCCTGTAGAATTTGCTTCCTATTTCAACTTCTGCCATTCTCTGACATTTGATCAGCGTCCTGATTATAGTTTGTTGAGGCTAATCTTTCGAGAATTGTTTGACCGCGAAGGTAAACATTTGGAATTCTGGTGTGCAATCTCCCATCATATCATATTAACAATGAAAAGCTTGATAACTTGTTTATTATTTGATCTTCTCTAGGCTATCAGTTTGATTATGTGTATGACTGGACTTTGTTGAAGTGTAAGCAATCCCAGAAGGCTAAGGCTAAACAAGGATGCTCTGTAAGTACTGCTTGTTTTTGGAGTTATAACTTCCCTCAGTATTTCATTTTCCTTTAAAATATGTTGGGAGGTTTTCAGAAAGTGATATCTTCTAATATAGATTTGAAGCAACAAATGAAGTGTATCTTTCCCAATTGTTTTAGGAGTTTTGCTGATTGTTCTCTACCATGGCAGCATGATGCAGGCGTAAGCAGCCGTCCAGTTACAACGAATGTGGACAAGCACCAAGGTAGCAGCTTGCTCAAATTGTTTTCAATGTACTGTAGTATAAAACTAGTGCTGTTTATAGTCATTTTCCTCTTTTTCTACAGTACATTGTGCTTTCTGGATTTCAAAATTTTCTATATAATTCTTCTGTTTTGTGGTGTTAGATTTTTTTTTCAAGATAATATACCTTTTTAGCTGTAACTTCTATAGGATGTCTATTCACAGTAGCATGTTTATAACAACCTTTTTCAGTTGGTGTTGCACGCCCAATTGACGCTTCAGGTCTGCTTGAAGCAGAACAACGCCCGGCAATCAGAATGCAATTCAAGTGCAGTGCAGAAAACAGCCGTTCAAATAATCTGCATCCTGAGAGATTGGTAAGCCAAGTTTAATTAATGAGTGTTGGATATAATCTTGATGTACTTGGCCATAATTGTATGGTGTGGAGTAGGCTATGAACTCGATATACACGAGTTTAGAAGTGTTGCACTGTTAGCATGTAGTAGTGCACGCTGGAGAGCAGTTGCATTGGAAGTGGTCTAAGCACACATTAGTCATAAAATGTATGGCATGAGTTTAGCTGTAGAGTTAGTGAATAAGGGTGAGTGAATAAATCAAGTAGGGTGAGTTACAACATCTACATGTACGTGGTTAGACCTGGGGTTGGATTGGCTTTAGTCCAATATCCAATTGGCTTTTGGCACTTGGGGCAGGGTCTTGGGGCGTGCCAAGGCCGTTGCTGACGCAGAAGGCGAGGTCGTGGAGCGCGCCAAGGTGGCCATGAGACAGCAAGCGTGGAGGGCTCGCCCTGGGACCAGGACACGTAGCAATCGCCATGGGTGGTCCGGGCGTCCGTGTCGCTGCGGGAGAAGCCGGCATAGAGCAACGAATTCCTGCTCCTCAGCTTCAGTCTGATTAGTATTGGTGGAAGCTCTGTGCGGATATTTGCAGCAAACATGCAACTAGTATTGGATGGATTTGAATTTAGATGGAGTTGGATTGGATATCTCCACTAACTATTAGGATTGGACTGGATAGGAGCACGATTTGAATTGGGCGCTGATTGGATTCCTCTAAATCTCTAATTGGATTTGGATGTCCGTCCATTCACAGCTCTATGTGGTGCACACATCAGTGACATTTGTAGGTGAATGTGTAGTGTCCATTCACATGTCTATATGTGGTGCACACATCAGTGACATTTGTAGGTGAATGTGTAGTGCACTCATGCTAGTTGACTCGTGAATTTGCCTTGTAGTTTTGTACTTTTGTACTATAAATATTGAGAACACAAGGCAAAAAAAAAAAGCAGTATGTAGGCATGTGACCGGGCCTGGTGCAAGCGGCAGAGTCTTACCGCCTGTGACCGGAAGGTCCCGGGTTTGAGTCGTGGTCTCCTCGCATTGCACAGGCGAGGGTAAGGCTTGCCACTGACACCCGTCCCCAGACCCCGCACAGAGCGGGAGCTCTCTGCACTGGGTACGCCCTATACGCCCTACGCCCAGTATGTAGGCATGTAGCTTCTATGTAAATGGGTGTGACTGTTTCATCCTCCATAATTGTCTTGAGAACGAACTATACTGAAAGGGCTTCATGAGTGTGAGTTTCCATAAGTTGTGTGCGCTGGGCACTTTTTGAGAGAGCGTGACAGATTCAGCTTCAACAAGGAATGTTCACCTTTCTGATTGTTGATGATGCTGAACTTTCTAAAGTTTTAGCATATGCTGTTATTTTTTTTTTCTGCTTGTACTATCTTTACGTGCTATTTGAATTTTAGAGTCATTTTGGTCTTCGTCACAGCTCTATACATTTTGTTATCTGTTAGGCTTCAAAGTATGTTTTACATTTCTTTGTGGTATAATAATGTCCCCCATTTTTCACTGCAGGGAGTGGCTGCTAGCCCTAATAATGCATTGCTGCAATCCACGTCACTTGGCCATGCTGATGCTCCAATGAACAATGTGACACATTCGAAAACACAGGGGTCCATAGATCCACACACTCGTGGAAGTTATACTCCAGGGCCCTCTAACTGCATTTAACCTTTTGGATAGTTCGTAAAAGCTTGCAGGTCCATTCAGTAAATGACTGGTGAGATTACCTTTGATGCTACTATGTCTCGCATCTTCTGTGTAGGTTGTATTGGTGTTTCCCCTGCTTACATGCGGCATATTAGGTATCTCAGTTGAATATTGCCTCCTTGTAGTTGGTTATGGACCTAAGGTCTTAAGGTTGCATGCTGGTAGTTTTTTTAATGCTTGCAGGCTAGATTGTAATGATTGCTACTGTGATCAGTTTCGCACTGAGCAAGTATCAAGGAGATCAGATGAAAAATATGATCCAAAGCAAGTATCGAGCTGGGCCAAGAGATAAAATGTTCCAATAAAAAAATCAATTAAAGAAGTGAAATGCATAGCATAGCAAGCAAAATAGATAGGTTAGGATGTCAAACATTGAGTCCACTGAATACTACCAAATGAACATGAAAATAATTAGAGGGAGATTGCAGATTGACCTGTGGTGTAAGCAAAATATCATGATAGTCTGGAACAGATAATTTGTGGAAAGACTTGCCACCAAAAATACTTTGTAGTGATGTTGATTATTGAATGCTAGCCAAGGGAACTCTAGCTCAAAATGGAAAGTGGTGTTTGGTGTGGATCAGGAGTATTTCATATGGCATTCGGATAGCTTTTAATGCTTGGAGGATTATAGATGCATACACCAGCATATTCAACAAAAAAGAGTGAAGGGTGGAGAGGTTAGTGGATTTTGGTCAGGCTTTAGTTGTACTGTGATTCGGTGATTAGAAGACGTACCTCAGTTTAGAGTTTGGTCAAACATACGTTAGTTTAGAGTTGGGTCAACATAGACCTTAGGTACACATCACAACATGATTGGGTCACACTTTAGCGTATTTGAGCTACTTGGTTGGTGGCCATGTCTAAAGAAGCGTTTTATAGGACTCAAAAACTGCATATAAGAGTATCACTACTCCTGTCAAGATTGGTGAGTGCATGTGACTAGTGTGGCTATAACAGCTGGGTTTGAACTCTAAAGAATTATATTGCAAACAAGTTCTATCATGGTAAGCATGGCTACAACTAAAACAATCACTTGATATATAGATGTTCTAGCGCTCAAACGATATGATCATGTCTGTTGTTCAGAATCTTTCTAAACATGTCATGTTACCATTCATTATTAAAAGTTTTTGTATTTGGGAACTGAACTCAATCCTAAACCAAAATTTGGTATCCTGACAAGTTTGGCCTCCATTTGTTAGTTTCTTACTCCCTCCGTCCCACAATACAAGTTTCTAACTTTGATTAGGTTTGTAGAAAATGCGTGCAACATTCATATCTCCAAATAAGTTTATTATTAGGCAGGTCTATGTGTGATTAGCTATAATTAGCACCTGCTATGTATACTTGATTGTATTCCTTATATACCCAGCCATATTGGCTTTATATATGAAGGTCACCCCCCCATATTGGGTGTGAGGTGTCTCTACATGGTATCAGCCAATTAGATCCTATTCTTCCGTTCTTTCCCCCCACCTCGCGACTCCTTCCGTGATCGCGCAGCCGCCCCCCACCGCGTGCGACTTCCTCTCACCCGTCCACCCTCACCGGCGACGACTCCTCTCCCATCCGATGGCCACAATGCCCTCTCTCGGCTCCGACTCCTCCCCGGCCACAGGTACCGGCACCCTGCCGGCAACAGGCGTTCCCACCATGCCATCCATCAGTGCTGCCACGATGGGTGCCATGGGCGCCGGCACTGCTGCACCGATTGTGGCTCACCACTACGCCACAATCAATGTCAAGTCCCACATCCCGATTACGCTGGACCTTCAATCCAACTACTACAAATGGGCGTTCTTCAAGTCGCTGTGCGGCAAGTTCGGCCTTCGCTCGCACATCGACGGCTCTGCTCCACCTTGACCTGATGATCCTTAGTGGGATGCCGCGGAGTGCTGCGTCCGACTGGATCTTGGCTCCGTCGACGACTCCGTCCTCAACCTCGCCATGGACGGTGCCGATCCAACCGCCCGTGATCTATGGGTGGCCATTGAGGGGATCTTCCGCGCCAACCGGGAGCCGCGCGCCATCTTCCTCAATGAATTTCACTCCATGGTGCAAGGTGACAGCACCATCTCGGCGTACTGCCAACGGCTGAAGACCAAGGCCGCCGCTCTTCGCGACGTTGGCCATCCTGTCGAGGACTCGCAGCTCGTCCTCGCCCTTATGCGTGGCCTCAATCCTCGCTTCTCCAACACCGCCGACGACATCGCCAACTCCGTTGTACTTCCCACATTCGCTAGAGCCCATGACATGTTGGCACTTAAGGAGCTCCGTCTCGCCAACGATGAAAAGACGGTCGCCAGCACCCCCCTCCTCGCCACCGCCGGGTCTGGCTGCACCAGCCCGGGCGGGTGTCGTGCTCTCGCTGCCACAGCCACCTCTGGAGGTGCACACAACCCACATGTGACCCGGCTACGACAGCAGCAACAAGGGGGCGGCGGCAAGAAGAGCAAGGGCAAGGGCTGGCGTGGCTGGAACAGCGGCCCTGCGCAGCAGCGCGGCGGCGTGGCAAATGCGTCCCAGCTGGCTGGCCACAATGATGAATACCGACCCATGGGCCCCTGGATTTGCTACAATCCATGGGCGCCACAGGGCCCTCCTTCGGCTCAGTAGGGCGGCTGGCGCCCAGGTGTGCTTGGCGCCCCTCCTCCTCAGGCTCGCACGGCCTTCGCGCCAACGCAGCCCCCGACGACATTTGCGCCGCTCCACGTCTCCCAACAGGCTCCCATGTGGAACCAGGATGATCTTGTTGATGCACTCAATCAGATGCATCTCCAGGGCCCGCATCCCTGGGTCCTGGACTCCGGCGCCGCCTCCCACATGAGCTCCTCGGACGGTATACTCCTTTCTCGCCATCCTCCTCCTTACTCTTCCATTACCGTTGGCAATGGTCAAACTCTTCCTATTTCATGTCGTGGCGAGTCTGTCCTTCATACACGAGTCAAATTTTCATCTTAATAATGTCTTAGTTGTCCCATCCCTAGTCTGCAATCTATTATTTGTCCGTCAATTTACTAGGGACAACAACTGCTCTATAGAATTTGACGCTCTTGGTTTTTCTGTCAAGGATATCCCGACCCGACGCGTGATACTTCGCTGCAATAGTGTTGGTGACCTTTACACCTTCCCTGCTGCGTGTTCCGCTCCACACGCCAGCATTGCCATCTCCACCGACCTCTGGCATCACCGTCTTGGTCATCCCAGCTCCGCCACCATTGACATTCTTCGTCGTAATGCGTCCATCACCTGTAATAAAGTAGAGCACCACTTATGTCATTCGTGTCAGCTTGGCAAACATGTGCGCCTTCCTTTTTCAGATTCCAGTTCATTTAGCTCCATGCCTTTTGAACTTGTTCACTGTGATGTATGGACATCCCCGGTTGCCAGTGTATCCGGGTATCAATATTATCTCGTTTTACTTGATGATTTCACTCATTTCTGTTGGACCTTTCTCCTCACTCGCAAATCTGAAGTCTCCACACATATTACAAATTTTTGCAATTATGTCCACACTCAATTCAACCTTGCCATCAAAGCTGTCCAAGCCGACAACGACACTGAGTTCGTAAACAATACCCTCCATACTTTCTTTGCTTCCCGTGGTATTCATTTACGCCTCTCGTGTCCATATACCTCCCCACAAAATGGCAAGGCTGAACGCCTTCTTCGAACATTGAACAACATCAGCCGCACGATGCTCCTCCATGCACACATGCCTGCTCAGTACTAGGCTGAGTCGCCACAGCCACATATCTTCTGAACAGGCGTCCATGCTCTGCTGTTCGCCACACCATTCCATATACCCTCCTCCACAACAAACCTCCTGAGTACTCCCACTTACGTGTCTTTGGGTGTCTCTGTTATCCGAACTTGACCGCCACGGCTCGCCACAAACTCTCCCCTCGTTCCACAGCTTGTGTTTTTCTCGGCTATCCCTCTTCCCACAAGGGGTACCGCTGCCTCAACATGGCCACTCAGCGCGTCATCATCTCTCGCCATGTGGTCTTCGATGAGACTTGTTTTCCCTTCGGGCTTTACCCCTCCAGGTCCTCGCCAAGTGACCTGGATTTTTTGCTTGCAGGTACTACAGTGTCGGTGCGTCCTGCATCCTTGCCCACTGCTGTTGGGCAGCCACACCAAGGATTCATTGAGGAGCTGACCGACGACCCCGCGATCTTGTTTCACGGCCCCGTACTGCATGCTGCTCCACCAGCAGCCAATCCACCACCTGCTGCTCCTCCAGCGGCTGCCCCGGCTCTAGCTGTTGTTCACGCCGCTCCACCAGCTCGGGACATCCGGCTTATCTACAGCCGGCGTCCCCGGGCGCATGACGGGTCCTCTACAGCACCGGGACCGGCTCCTGCACCTGTTCAGCAGGCTCCTATGCCTGTCCAGCAGCCTCCTGCCCCTGTGCAGCAGGCTCCTGCTCCTGTCCAGCAGCCACAGAACGACGCATCACGCGAACCCAGTCCGGGGCCATCCCGCTTATGCGGTATGTGGGTCTCTCTGCGACAACCACTCCGTCTCCGCTTCACGCCAACTACCGCAGCGGTTTGGCTGATCCAAACTGGCGTGCGGCCATGGCTGAGGAGTACAAGGCGCTCATCGACAACGGGACGTGGCGCCTTGTGCCTCGGCCACCCGGCGCCAACGTAATCACAGGCAAGTGGATATTCAAGCACAAGTACCACTCCGACAGTACCCTCGCCCGCCACAAGGCTCGCTGGGTGGTTCGTGGCTTCTCTGAGCGCCACCGCATCGACTACGACGAGACATTCAACCCGGTGGTCAAACCAGCAACCATCCGGGCTGTTCTCAGCATTGCTGCCTCACATGCCTGGCCTATTCATCAGCTAGACGTCAAGAATGCTTTTCTCCATGGACATCTGGAGGATACCGTCTACTGCCAGCAGCCCCCAGGCTTCGTCGATCCTGTCTTTCCTGACCATGTGTGTGTTGCAGCGCTCCCTCTACGGCCTGAAGCAGGCTCCCTGAGCCTGGTACCAGCGTTTTGCGACATACATTCGCCAGCTCGGCTTCGTCGCCTCGACCTCCGACACCTCCCTCTTTGTCTACAAAGATGGGACCAGTACCACCTACCTGCTTCTCTACGTCGACAACATCGTCTTTACTGCGTCCTCGACGACATTTCTTCAGCAGATCATTGGGCGCCTCCACTCTGAGTTTGCCATGACTGACCTGGGCGCACTCCATCACTTCCTCGGGATCTCCGTCACTCGCTCCGCCGACGGCTTGTTCTTATCCCAGCGATAGTACGCCGTTGAGCTTCTTCAACGCGTCGGCATGGCTGAGTGTCACTCTACGTCGACACCTGTTGACACTCATGCCAAGCTATCCGCAACCAACGGTGCTCCCGTTGCTGATCCGTCCGCATACCGGAGCCTTGCTGGCGCGCTCCAGTACTTCACGCTGATGCGTCCTGACTTGACATACGCTGTCCAACAGGCGTGCCTCTTCATGCATGATCCCCGCGAGCCGCACCTCTCGATGATCAAGCGGATCCTACGCTACGAGAAGGGCACTCACTCCTCCGACCTCCACATCGGTGTCGGCCCTGTTCAGTCACCAGTCGCCTACTCCGATGCCGACTGGGCTAGCTGCCCAGATTCTCGGCGCTCCACCTCCGGCTATTGTGTCTACCTCAGGCGTCAATCAGATTTCTATTGGTCCTCCAAGCGTCAGACCACAGTCTCCCGCTCCAGTGCAGAAGCAGAGTACCGTGCTGTTGCTCATGTGGTGGCCAAGTGTTGCTGGTTGCGCCAACTCCTGCAGGAGCTCCACGTCTCCATTGCTTCGGTGACGGTTGTCAGCGTTGTCTACATGACAACCAACCCCGTTCATCATCGTCGCACGAAGCACATTGAGATTGACATTCACTTCGTCCGTGAGAAGGTCGCCTTGGGACAAGTTCGGGTTCTTCATGTGCCGTCCTCTCACCAGTTCGCAGACATCATGACCAAGGGCCTTCCTGTACAGCTATTTACTGAATTCAGGTCCAGTCTATGCGTCCGGGATCCTCCCGCTTAGACTGCGTGCGGGTATTAGGCAGGTCTATGTGTGATTAGCTATAATTAGCACCTGCTATGTATACTTGATTGTATTCCTTGTATACCCAGCCATATTGGCTTTATATATGAAGGTCACCCCCCCATATTGGGTGTGAGGTGTGTCTCTACATTTATCATGAAAGTATATTCAACGATCTATCTAATGATACTAATTATGTATTATAAATATTAATATTCTTTTATATATAATTGGTCAAAGTTAAAAAAGCTGACTTCTCGGGAAGCGAGAATGACTTCTATTTTGGGACAGAGGGAGTAATTTTTTAACATTCACCTTTTGTTGTCACAAGATTTTATTTTTTCTTACAAAAATTTGGTTATTTCATGGGAAGACATGCGGGCATATAACTAGTGTCACAATAAGATTTCAGCTTGGCAAAACCTTGCCAGCATTAAATAACCCCCTTTTGTGAAGTAATGTTTTGTAGGTGGTATGGTATGTTTAAAATATTTCCTGAGTCATTATGAGGTTTCTAATTAGTGAAGAAAAGCCTTGTTATGTTCCTAATATATATATATCTGAATAGGTTCAAGCCACCTCAATCCGGTGGAAATCTGGAAGTTTTTAATTACTTGTATGGTTGATCCTAGCAGTTCTATGTGCATGGTAAAACTGCTAGGATCAACCATACAAGTAATTAAAAACATTGCTAACAAGTTTTTTTTAATAAAAAATTGAAACTTGGCACCATAGATGGGACTAGTCTAAAAAATTTAGATGAACAATTGTTTCTGAAAAATTATATAAAAATGACAATTTCTAGTGTGTGTGCACTAGAGGACAAATCTCTTTTTTTGTCTTCTAGTGCACATGCATCTGAAATTTGTTATTTTCCTCTGGATTTTGAAAAAATGATTTTGCATGTCAACTTTTGTGACAAAAAAGGATCTATGAATGTGTCAAGTTGATTTTTTTTGGAAACTTCATAGTATGCTTAATGGTTTTTTTCACTATTCCATCAAGAAGGTGGCTTCCACCAAATATTTTCCTGATTTAGTAATGCCACTTTTTTGGGGGCAAACTTTAAGAGATGGTTTTGTTCACCAGCAGACAAACCAATGTTTCTGTGGCACTTTATTGGGTATTCTTCCTGAATTTCTTAGTGACCTGTATATTTGCTATTGTAGGTTGCCTGATGTGGTTTCATGGATGCATTCTGAACAAACATTCAATGCCATTGCTGGAAATAGCTGTCTGGTTTTTATGGGGACTTCTGTATTGCTTGAGGTGATTACTACCAACCAGAAATATGGTTGATGCTGGTCATGAAATCAGCATCAGTTAGCTGTTCTGGTCGATTTTTATTCTTTTCCATCTGTGGATAATATGAAAACTTGCTTAGGAAAGCTAGATATCTATTTTTGTGTTCTACACGAGTGGATACATTGTAACTCACCTATTTGGGATCATTGATTCAGGGTCCTTTACAAATATAATAATGGTGCTGTATTCTATGCATAATGAAATTTGGGGTTTCACCAGGATAGCTTTCATTCATTTTAATTACAGACCAACAGCAGTGCGAGTTACAACTTTTTAACTTGTGTAAGGCAAGTTACTTTTGCTATTTGTCGCATTCTATTGCAAGTAACTGGAATTGGATTTCTTGCTGTATTATTTCTGACCATATTTCATTTTGATGCTGTCAATTTACTTGCAGAAAGTGATGTACTATCTGACTTAGATTGGCTGCAGCTTCCAGTGTGTTCAACACAATCAATGATTGCGGAGAGGTATCTGGGAAGTTTTGATTGGTCAGCATACACAATCAATGATATATGCTTGCATCAACTAGGATAGTGCCTCTTTGCTGAAAGTGATGTCATATTCTACTAGGATTGGCTGCAGTTTCCAATGTGTCTGACACCAAATCACCATACAAAAATCAGAGTTGGAAGTTTATGGTTGGTTGATTCATTCATACATCAACTAGAAGAACCCTCTTTGTTGAAAGACTGTTATATTTTACTTGGATTGCCTGCAGCTTGCAATTTGCTTGATACCAAATCGCACCATAAAAAGGCTATGAAGAGGTCCGGGAAGTTTACGATTGGTTAGCATCCATGTATATGACTTCAACTTTCAAGAAACACATGTTGTGGCTCATGGGCTCGAGATTAAAAAAAAAAAAGTTAAAACTTCAATCCACAACGATCTTGTTGGGCAGAGGTAAATATCATGCCATGTTCCTGTCATAGACATGGTGACATGGTCGCTTGTGTTTTATTTGAATGAGAGGATTGAATATACTGCTTATAACATTGTGAGGAAGTCCTACAACATCTTGGTTTTTTCTGGTGTTGTTTTTTTGGTTGGCATTCTCTCTCCAACTGTCATAAAACAATGAACTGTACATAAATTCTTAAAGGGCTGTTCAAAAAGTCTTGAGGTGAAATGAGATGATATACTTGATAGAAGTGTCCATATTTAGGTATATCATTTTCCTGACTGTTCAAAAATATCATTCAATGATATAACGCTGGTTCCAAAGTGAATATTTTTTAGTTATAAAAAGTTGAACTGTATCTAGGAGTGGAGCTATCTCTGTAATTTGTCGAGTCTGAACAACTTTGCCCCCTTTTCCAGAATTCAAAGCTGCCCAATTTAGTCATGCCTAGAATTGTGCAACAACGTGTAACAGAGCAGAATGAAGTCCACCTTTAGTCGGTGCTTATAAATATTCTTGGTTTAACTATAGCCGAGTTTTTGAGTTTTCACAGCTGGAGCCGTCTCAGTCTGTATAACTCTGGTTCTTGTTTTCGAGACGGAATCCTGTTGCTGGGCGTCTGAGCTCATTTGTGTGGCTACTCCAGTTCCTTGGCAAAGTCGATGTTGTCGACGAACACCTGCATTATGATATATGGACACTGTAAGAAGTTTTTCCCTAAAAGAGCAAAGAGACGATCTTCTATATAGACCAAAAGATGGGTGCATTGGATAGTACCGATTTCCAGCCATCAGGGTCCAGGATGGATGTGATCTTTGTGTTGATCCCCGGCAAGGGCCCTGGCTCCCGCACCACCTGCCCTCCGGACAGCTTCACCACCTCCGCGGTCTTGTAGACATCATCGGTGCCAATGGCAATCTGCTTGAACTCAGCATCATGTGTCCAGAGTTAAGCCTCTTGACTGCTGAGACCATATCGCAAAGAAAACCAAATTGCACACCTGGGCATATGCATTCCCCTTGGCATACTCGGTGACACCATAGTTGTAGGTCAGCTCCAGCACCGCGTTCTTGTCTTCAGGGCCGTAACCCATCATTGCCACTGTGTACTGCAGGGGCAATTCCGGGGAATCCATGTCATGACACAAGTTATTTGGCAATTAATAACTACTAGCTAACAGATTGATGGTTTCTGCAACCTGATCACCTTGTATTCAGGGTTATCTCGCTTCCGGAGTAATTGCATGCCGCAGGCCTGTGGTTTAGGCGAGAAGAGACTAGTGAGGATTTTGTGGACAACAAAGCTTATGGAGCATATAAGCCTACACCTACCTTCTCATAGAAGCTTATGGCATGGTCAAGATTGCCGACGCGGAGCATCACCTGGCACAAGGGCTCTGGAGTTCCAGGCCTCTCAATGATCTCAAACTTGTAGCCATCAGGGTCCTCCACGAAGGCGATGACGGTCTTGCCGCCCTTGACAGGACCGGGCTCCCTGGTGACCTTGCCTCCCTTTGCTCTTATGAGCTCTACTGTCTTGGCCACCTGTTTCACTCAAATCATCCGGATTCCAAGCATGGTTATACTATGTCAATAATTGAGGCAGCATCTCAATTCTAACCGATCGATGGGGAAGTCTTAGATTTGCTATCTTACATCCTCGACTCCGATACCGAAATGGCCAAAACCTGCGCCAATATCATATTTGTCGACCCCGTAATCTGCGAATGGATTCTGCAAAATCAGGAACCTGAAAACTGGGGAACTGTGACTGGTGCCGAGTGTTAACAGCACTGACTGTAAGTGAGCTCGACGACGAAATGCGATTCCTCGGGGCCGTATCCTAGGAACGCGTTGGTGTACTTCTCCTCTGGTATGTCCCTCTTCCTGAGCAGCTTCATCCCCAGGCACTCAGTGTAGAACCTGCATTGCATTGTATCAGCTGTTGCAGTTCAGACTTCAGAGCGAGCTGTGACTTGTATCGTGGTAACGAGATGTACTTGATTGTCTTGTCGAGGTCGCCGACCTGGTAGACGACGTGGAGGAGCCGGCGGTTGTCCTTCTTTGCCCACGAGAAGGCCTCGTCCGTGCTGGCGAAGGTGGCCGCCTGCGCGGCATCCGCCGAGGCCCGGATCTTTGCCGCCGCGCCGGCGCCGGCCACGTTCCTGGTCAGCGTCAACGGCCTCGTCCCGGGCACCTGCTCGGACTGCAGCGCCGCACCTGCTTGCGATTAAGAAACAGCCCCACCCCAAAATAAACGCAACAGGTCAGGCAGCAGAGGCTATAGCTGCGCGGCTACTGCTACAGTCGTGTGACGAGCGGTGGTCACCTGCGGCAGCGGTGGAGAGGAGCAGCGACCTCCGGGGGACGGGCGTGGCGGCGCAGGCGACAGCCCCGCGGCCGGCGGCCACCGGTAGAGTCCTCATCGCGGTGTCTGCTGGCCGACCCGGTTTGCTTGGCGCGCCTTTCTCGTGCTATCCTTAATTCCGGGCCGCTCGCTTCGGTGCGGCCAGAGATCTATTTGGCGCGGACGGATGCGCCGCTGCCAAGTGCGAAAGCTGCTGGGAGACTGGACTGGTAGGGAAGGGCGGTTGAGCTGGTGATGACACCTGTCAAGATGTGGGGCTATGGGACCCGTGAAGAGCCGTAAAGCTGGATTTCACAGGATGTTTTTTTGATAAAATTTCACAGGATGTTTGGATCACACCTGACAGCGTGCGACCGTGCGTACCGGCCGCACACCTTGTTAGTGACAATGGAAGCACTAGTTTCATCAGAATGCCAAGCAGGAACAACCGGTTCTAATCAATTGTTATAACATCAATCATAGTTGTAACCGATCACAGCAGCACCGACAACAAACACAACTGTTGTAGTAGGGTACTCCAACTGCAGTTGCTACCAGTTGCAGCCAAACTTCGCACCTCTATTCCTATAAAACACCAGTTAAAATTATCCTACATCCACCCAACAACTACGTGCTCTACAATCATAATCTTAACTACGTCTACACCACAGTATGTACTCAGAAATACACCATACTAAAAACATACACACCAGATTAACTCTCGTACCTTCTCTCTCCTTACTCAAACATATCCGATGGTCGTCCTTCAATACATCTGAACCTTGTGGCTTCGCGCGCCCTCTCTCCGCCCCCAACCCCACGCCCGCGCCCTCTCCCTCCAAGGTTTGATCCCTCCTGCCATCTTTTTTTCGAAAAAATTGAAACGTCGTTCTCTTCTCCGCTCGATTGACAGCAGCGGCACGCCTCTCAGCTTCCGCCACCGCCACCTTGGTCCCTGCGTCGGTGAGCTCCCTAGCTCCGGCGGCCACCTTCAGTTCGCCGGCGATGGCCAGATCTGGTGGATCCGGTTCCCCTCTACCTCTCCCACACCTTCTTCCTTATCCATGGGAAAAGTTCTTCCTAAGTTGGATTAACCCGGCAGCATTTGACGGCGGCACAGGGAGGGGCCGCCTCCGCAGTAAGGGAAATGGCGGCGGTGCTCGTCCGCGGCCTCCGGGGCGACCTGTGGGCGCTGGTTGATGTTGCGCTAGACGCGGCCACACGGGACTGCGCCAACGGCATCGTTGAGTGCCTCTACGCCGCCGCCATTGGCGCGCCGCTCTAGCAATCGCTACGAAGCGTCCGCCGCTCGTTGTTTGCTTTAGCGTCGGGTGGTGGATGAGGAGGACGAGACGAGGCGGCTCCGGCTTCTCCAAATGGTGGAGGCGGAGGCGAGGCGAGACGTCATGCATAAGCCGAAGCGCGCGGAGAGAGCGAGCCGTGCTAACACAATGGGTGGGCCAATCGGTTTGCTTGCTTGTTTCGGATGAGCAAAGCAAGAATCGCCATGGGAAGGGTAAGGTTTTGAAGATTATGTTCATGTTCGTGCGAGAGATCGACATCGGGCGACAGATGAATGGTTCTGCAAAAACACTCTTCTGCCGAGGTCAGCGATGGTGAAGCGACTCATCGATGATGATGAACATGGACACGAACACCGTTAAACCGGAGAGATGATTTTCTGTTTCGAATATATGCTGCCTAATTATCCTCTTTTGTGGAACCTAGTATTGCTTGCAACTTGAAGTAGCAGATAACAGATTGTGTGATGAAAGTAGCTATTATCTATGGTGACACATCTGTACTTTATTAGAGCCTTGTATGTTTACCTTTTCTTTATTGATTGTAGACTATATGTAACAAAGACACCTTCATTGTTCAAGCCTTACAGGTTTCAGCGTTTGAAAGATTCTCCCAGCCCACGAGGCATCGTGAGTGCAACATATCATCTTTTAAATGCAAGAAAATGTACTTATGGAGGTACACTCTTTGTTTCTATAACTTTAGATGGTTCAGCTTCGAGAGGGGCTAACAATGGTTTTGAGTCAACAATGTATGCAAAGCGTGGGACCAGTGATGTTAGGAGAATTTGGTACTCTTTGGATAAAATGTTACTTGCTTTGAGAACATTTTACACCGAAACTTGTAGTACTAGCATAAGCGAAGCGAACTATATCGATGAAGGACTCATATTCGAAATTCTGTTGTTTTTGCTAAAGTGATCTCAGCTCACTCATTGTGGCTTGAACAATTAATCTGGCCTGCTCTTGAGGGACAGGAATTGATGCATTTGCTTAATTGTTCTATTTTGTGAATAAATATCAATTAAGTTTGACATTAATGTGGCCCGTAGTGTTAGCACAGGTAAATGTACTATGTAAATTTAAAGTGTCGGTTGGAAATATGAACTGATCTTTCATCATGATTTCCATGTGTTCAGGTCGTTGAAGCTGCACTTATTTCTAGAATACAAAGATTGGAGCAGAAAACTGTACACGATGATGTGTTTTTTTACATATAGCTCTTGCTCTTCTTGTAGAAAACTGTACACGATGATGTGTTTTTTACTGCATACTCCATTTAAGCATTGTCACTTACATGCTTCTCAATCATTGGCTTCAAACCTTTAAGCTGTTACTCCCATCCCCTAATCCCCTACTTCATTGGGATTTCAATTTAGGCAACTTTCATTATACTGCACACAGTGGAATTCAAACAGCAATGCTTCCAGTTACTTAGAGTAGGCTGAAGTGTCTAACCCACATCCTGGCGGCAACCCACATTGCCACCACCGCCACCTCCACTCCAAGGTGAACATGAACGCAGGCGTCGACCTCATGACACCCCCCTGTGCCATCGCTGCTGCCGCCACCTCCACTACCAGCCCTTGAGAAGTTTAGAGCCAATCCCATCGAGCTATAGCTACGATCGAAGAATGGCCTCCTGTAGCTCTAGATCCCATGGTCGTGGTTCTTGCTCCCAAGGCAGCTGCAGAGCCCCCACCGGAGCTCCTTCGGTGGACGACACCCACCTCATCCACGAGCCCAGCCTCAACCCTGAGTTCGTGGCTATGCTAGCTAAGGAACTCATTGCCCACATCAACCGGCACCATCACACGGCCAACTTCGCTGACACGGCACTTGTGTTCACCATGCATGAGCACAGAGCTCGCGGAGGTCGAGGAGCTTGTCCACGTAGGTGACGAGCATATGGACATGCAGTAGGACAAGATCATGGCGCGTGAGGCTTAGATCCACTAGGATACTAAGACAGAGGAGGTGCTACGGACCGAGATCTACACGCAGCAACAGCCTAGGGCCCCTGATGCTAAGGCGCGCGCAGCATGGCTCTAGAATCAACGGGCGTGACCTCATGTAGCAGGATGGTCGTGATCGTGAGCACGCCACACAAGACTTCCATGCTAGCAAGGGCATGCGCTATGATGCCGCCACTGCCACCTCCACTACCGACTCTTGAAAAGTTCCATGTTGATCCCATTGGGCTACATCTGCCAGCAAAGTGTGGCCTCCTCCAGCTCTAGATCATGTGGCCACAGATCCAACTCCCAAGGCAGCTGTCGAGCACCATTGGAGCACCTCCGACGGATGACGTCCACCTCTTCCCCGAGCCTAGACTCAACCTCTGTGGCAGAACCGCCGAAATAACACACCTTCGGAGGCGCTTATCTTCCACCAGACACTAAGCACCCCGAAAGCAAGCTACATCGGACGGATTATGTCGAGCACACCTCAAGGGAGAACTTGAATAATCCATGTTTTTTCTCCAGGATTCAATAATGAGAACGAGTTTACAATACTTAGTCCATTTCATACAACCAGAGTTCTTAGAAATACATTATTACAGTACCAAGTTCAGAGTGTAAAATTTAAACAGCGGAATACAATAAACATCTAATGGTAGAATACAAAGATCCATCTATGCCCACCAGAAGAATCCTCCACACAACAGCTACTCTTCAAGCTACACCTGCAACAGGGGTGAATAAACCCTGAGTACACAATGTACTCGCAAGACTTACCCGACTAGTGGGAATAATTTTCTGACTCCAAAGGACATGATAAGCTTTATGGGTTGCTAGGTTTTCTTTTTGTGGAAAGCAATACTAGTAGTGGATCCTTATGTATGGTTCTTATTAGCAGTCATGATTAGTTCATTAGCTAACCATTCTAGGTAAGCACCTGTTCTACTTTCAAGCAAGGGTTGAGCAAACAGATCCATTTCACCATCTTTCGTCTTCCAGTTCTTACTACGATGCTAGATTGTAGACAAGTTGTACCGGATTGCTCGGCGATTCGTGAATCAATGTGCCCAGCTGGGTACCCCGAAACACATACCCCGCTTGTACCCCAGGCACAATCAAGACCAACCCACCACTCTCCTATTAAGGGGTCTAGGTCCCCGTCCAAACTTGGACTCCAAGCCCCCACACCTAAGTCCCGGACTCAATGTGGTGCTTAGACCTCCACCATCCCCGCCTTCAATCAGTCTGTCCGGAAAGAGCCGGAACCCATGACAAGAGAGCAACGATCCTTCCCTACTCCCATAAACAAGTATGTGCTCAGGATAATGAGTTTGTGACCTAACTAGAATCCAATGCAACGGCCGGTCCTTAACCGACACGGACAGGGAAAACAGTGTAAACAAGCTATGCCCCGTTAGCCACGGAACACAACCCCTTACACCCACCAATACCCGTACCATATCCCTGCCCGGTCTCCATTTCTTTTCACTATTTTATCATGAGTGATAATAATAATCATCTATTATGAGTAACGGCAGGTTACTCACGCTACCGATAGCCTAAGCATAGCAGCTACTCGACCTATGCTAGTAGGACTTCATAGGATAGATATATTTATGTAGGTGGGTTTCATAAAATGTCTGTAACGTAAATGCACAACACAGATATATATATTCAGTGCTTAATGAAAATAAGGGTTATGCACCGGGGCTTGCCTTAGGCAGGCAGGGTGTTGGCTCAGTCAGTCCATGGTGGCTCTGATACCTCCTCTTGCACAAGGACCTCCTCCTCGTACTCTTTATTCACCTCTTTGTACT